AGGAGGCAGCAGGTATAGCATCACCTCAACCTCCTCCATCGTCGTGGTGTTTGAGTCGCCATTACTTCGTACTCGACTGTAAAAGAAACCGTCCGAAACAGAGTTGAGCCAAGATGAGTAGGTACAGGTGGGAAAAAGGACTGTTAGTGTTAAGCTGTGTACCCTAATCTAAAAAGTGGTGTGCATCTACCCAAGTTAACTGGAAGCCAAAAAAAAAAAAAATCTAAACTGTGATTCGCCTGCTTGGTAATTACATACGATGTGAACATCATATTATTTAGCTTAAAGATCATGTGGAACAGGCTGTATCTGTCTCCATAGCGCAGACAACACAAATGGACTCGGTGGGAGCTCAAGTCCTTCCAGCATTTCAGTCAAGGTAACTGTTTTTCTCTCAAAGGCCAACACATGAGCCAAGTTTCTCTTGTGATGACAGAATGATGTAGTGCATGTTTTTAGTGCAAACAGCAGTGTTAGCTCCTCCGGCATTCACTGTCACGTTTTGGACACCACTGGTAATGCGTTAAGGACCAGTGTGTAAGGTTTAGGTGCCTCTTGCAGTGCCGTTGTAGATTGTAACCAAGGAAAACACAGGCTGAATATTTTAAACGATTCACATCTGAAATCAAACTATATCAAAGCCATCCACACATTCTTCTCATGCATCCATACATACCTCAATGTCAAAGCCCATGTTTTTGTTTCCCTCATGATGCGCAGAATACAGCTTTGAAATAAGCTCGCTCCCCTTCACGCCGGAGTTCTCAGCGAGGGCACGTGGCAACGCCTCGAAAGCTTCGGCAAACTTTTTAATGGCATACTGCTCGAGACCAGGGCAGGACTGCAGAAAGGCAGGAAAATGGTGTATCAGTCAAAATAGGACAAAACGAAGACGAGAGATAAGTGTGTGGACTTGGAATATGTTAATTAATTCACTTGAATGTGCATACCTCTCCATATGAGGTGATCTGTTTGGCCAGCTCAATCTCAGTGGCTCCTCCTCCAGGTACCAGCCTGTTGTCCTAAAGATAATGAATGACAGAGAGACTGTAGCTGTTGTGCAAACTAAGTAGTACATAAAAAGAAAACCCCTTGAAATTTGTGAACTGTAAGATTCTCAATAACAATGTTTAAAGGGAAAGTTTTGCTCATAG